TTTCGTGCAGAAGGTACTATTTATATATTTCTTACACTAGCTTTCGTGCAGAATGCACCATTTAAATTTCGCAGAGTAACTTTTGTGTAAAATGCATTATCTCAGCGAACAATTACGTTGTAATCTATCTGGCACGGTCTGACAATTATTACACGATATAAATGTGAACGTTTAGAATTATATACTATTCCTTTTTTCAAACTAAGATGAATTCCATCTTCGAATCATTTACTTAAATACTATTGCAAAGTTTAAGACTTCACCGATCACGCGTAACTTAAGTGGTTATTAATTATCTCAGTCTGGAAGTTTTGTTCCTTTCTCTTCTCTTCTTTGGAAAGTAATTGTAATTTTGTTTTCCCTTTAAAAACCACAATTGTGATAAATACTATGTTCTGGGTGGGATAACTTAACGTATTTTCCTAAACAGAAATTAAATAAGATTTTATTCTTGCAAATGCCAAAGTATTTCTTCGTCTATTTTTATTTATTTCTTCGTCCGTGCAAATTTACACGATTATAAACCTGTTTTGAAAATGCAGTCTGTTTGTTTAACCTTGAATATAAAATGGACGCAGAATTCATTCCTGCAAACTGATTAACTTTTGTGCAATGACGCTCATAAAATCAGATTAGATGGACAGAAAGGATGAAATCGATATGATGTTTGCAATAGCTGTGGATGGGGAGGGTTTACAAAATGATGCAGAAGTGATTGGCTCTCGTAAACAAGATAAAGGAGATTGTTTAGCTCCAGAACTGAAAACCGCTCATAATAAATTTGCAGTGAATATTTGTTACAAAAGACTGGATATTATACTCCTGCAATAATCTGATTAAAATCAGATTTCCACTATTTTACAACTAGAACAGTGGAAATCTGATTTTAATCAGATTGCCCGATGCAAGAGACTTAAAGGTCTTGAACCTACTTAGAGATATACATTTTCAACTGGGTGGGTGTTAGACTAGTGTTCACGTGACCTCTCTGCGTTATCTTCATCCTTTATTATGTTATGAATGAAAGTTTCAACTCAACTACACACGCGATTGATATAGTATTATGTAGTCATATGGTACAGATGAGTTTAGTTATTATTGCGAATATTAATTTAAAAGCGTGTTTTAACATTTCCTGAACTTATTGTACGTGTCATAAAAGGTCGGTTGCTTAATTCCATTTCATTAAGTAGCATTAATAATTACAGTTCATGTACCGACCTCTTAAAATTGTCATGCAGCTGCATCGTGGTTCTGCCCTGTATGTCATGTTTTGTACTCGCCAAAAATCTCAGTACATTAATTGATTGCACATAATATAGGGTTAGAATTAAGGCTGCAACCTTCACCAAAATAATAATCGTGTACAAGGTTTACAATATACAAAAAAAGATGCCCTCTACGTACGTTTGTGATTGTTTCGTTGGTTGTATTTCTTTCACCTGGCATGACGATGGTAAGATATGTGTTTGTTGTATACAGGGAAAATTTAGGTAAAACATCCTAAAAGGTGACGTAATAACTTGCTTGTTGCGTAGTTGTACACGAGGAACCTAAGTGACAAATAAATACGTGTTCTGTTGACATTAGCATGGGATGTTTATGAGATATTTCTCACTGAAGATAAAAACCGTAACTCACCTTACAAACTTGTAATGATGTTTGTTTGGTCTTTTGACATATTTCTAAATAAAATGCTACTAATTGAATAATGGGGTTACAATTGTTTATACTTCAAAATAAATCAATATATTGTGTCATGTGAAGACTAAGCAAATCTTGTCAAAATCGACTTCTTTGTGCGACTGATTTCGATAACACTTTAAGAATAGAATCGACATTGTTATATCAATAAACATTCGAAGAACATTAGAGATATTGAAATTTATCATTTCATTGGAAAGGATAGTTGTTGGGAATGTTTAGCCCCATTGTGGTTGCCCACTACTTCACACACAGCTCCACACCGCGTTTTTGCGGCAAGTGCTTGTGCCACTTTATATAATTTGTAAACGATTATATGCAGTGAACCAATTTTTTTTTACAAATGCAAACGCTGCAGACGTTTACAAAATTACGTAAGATAAAGTTTTGAAAAGTAAATCATATAAATATTGTTGTACCTTATATAAAGACAAGCACAACATGCGGCTCGTACAAAGTAACAAAGAAAAGGATGAAGCCAACAAGCTTAGTAAATTTAACAAAATAATTTATTTCCCAAGAAAACAAGGTATTAATATTAAAAGGACTTATGTTGTGTGATCTAATACAAAACATAATCCTAGAATTTAAAAATGTTAGTCCTGTAACGGAAAAGTCCTCATTGAATACATGATCGAATCTCTATGAAATTCCAAGATGGAAGGCGATGACGTCATCTATAACCAGTATTGTGCTGATGTGTCAACAGTTCCTTTTTGAATCACCAATAATATAATTTCACCTTTAGAATTCAGAATAATGTTTCGTAAGTGTCTTTGTCCAAGAATTTCTGTGATCATATGTAAAGTCTCCAGGTAAATAAATTATTTTAAATAATAAAGAACTAAATTTAAATGGCATTATCATGAATGCAATTCAGCCTCAAGTCATTATTTACAATTGACTAAATAAAACTTGGGCCCCGAGTAGCCAATTGGTCTAAAGCGCTATTCGTTACGGATCACCTCTGTCTGCGTTGGTTAAAGTGTAAGATTCGGCATGGGTCGGTGGCTCTTTCTCCGGATTTCCCCGGTTTCTTCCTCAACCATTAATACTGGCCGCCATGTATAGCCTATCGTGTGCTGAAAAATGGCGTTAGGCCCCACAACATCAACATCAACTAAATAAAACTAAGATATCAATATTAAACCCAACTAATAATGCAATTTCATACCCGCGTGTTGGGTCACGTAATCACTTTGAGGTACGCAAAAAGAACTACCAGTAAATTATCACGTACTCTCGTGTAGCTATAGCTAACAACCAATGAATCCTACACTGGAAATTAATCTATAAATAAAACATTCTTTATTTAAATTAACACGTAGGATATTAAGACCTTGATTATTACCATTGATTTTCACTCTGTTTACTAATTCTGAATCAAAATCAGGAACTAGGTCAGCTAAAAGTGTAATGTAGCAATACTATTGCGTTTTAATCAGGCGAAAATGAACTGAGAAAAATTTACTGAGAAAAATGTTAAATCCAGTGGAAAATAAATTATCATTACAATAACATGTAATGAAACAAAAATAAAATAAAAGGAAATTTAAAACTAACGCACAATTAATTATATTACATATACGTAACTTTTAGGCAAATTTTGACGTTGATTACGAGAAATGATTTTCACTCTGTTTACTAATTCTGAATTAAGATAAGGAACTAGGTCAGCTAAACATACAATATAGCATCACTATTGCGCTTTAATCAGGCTTAAAGGAACTAAATTAAATTTACTGAGAAAATTTTAAACCCAGTGGAACAAATTTATCATTACAATAACAAGAATGAAACAAATCAAAGTAAAAAAAGAAATTTAAAACTAACATACAAATAATCAAATTACATATACGTAACATAAACAGCTTCGTAATATAATTACATAAACACTGCATACAAAGTATTCTGTACATATTATTAATATCATGTTCGACTTAAAATAGCATGGCGTTCCAAAAAATCTCGTTTCTTACTATAAATTGGTGAACCAAAACAAAATGCCACACTGTAGTGCGTGAAAAGATTTAAATTCATAACTAACGAAGGGAGTATATACACATCGACAAGAGTAACTCTACTTTACGCTACCTTGGTGGGATATATAAAAATGTACATAGATCATTTAAAAAAATAACAGGCCTAATTCGTTTGGATGAGCCATTTGACTCGGACATAGGTCTTGATTTCCTACGTCTGCTGCAGCTAAGGAATGGAAAGGTATTGAAATCGTTAGAAAGGCAGTGACTATTTGCACGGCTACTTCATTAGTTTAAATTAATGAATTACGTGTTAATCAAAGCTTCGGCTGAGAATAGTATTCATCCCCACCACCACCACCCGACCCCAACAAACTGAAATCAAAATGATTTTCTCCCAGAGAAAGTTTCCTTTACAGTTCGAAGGTAAAATTTATGCACCTGATCTACTGAAACTGCAGACGTTTTCTTGAACGTCGCCTCTTGGGCCCACTATTGGTTCCACTCTAAAGACTTCTTATTACCCGCCTAAATAACACTAAGGGTAATTTATGTATCCTCCCCTGAAAATAGCAGCTTATACGAGTTTTAAATTTACTCAGCTGAACAATGAACATATACAAATAATGTTTAACTGCTACAACATTTGTGGGAAGACCCTTTCATTCTATAAAAATGCATCATGTTAAATTTCAAGAAGTGTCCTCAAATAAATAAACAGCGTTGGTTTTTAATATTCATGGAGCAAACTAATTTCTAAAGGCAATTTTAGTTCCATGTTAATATTAAATACTAGCGATTTGATGGCGCTAACAGAACAAATATTCTGGACATTGAGGGAAAAAAAGTTAAATTTGTACTTCTCTCTACTTCTAAGCACTACTGCTATCTGCTATCATAACAGCTTCAAATATGCAACAGTTTATATATGATATTCAACCTATATTTTCTAAAGGAAACGTGTCTGAGTATAGATACAGTCAATCATTTTAACTCCATGTAAATGAATTTATGATTTATCCAGTGTTTCTTATTCAAACTTCTTCATGAGAATTCTAAATCAATAATAATAATACTCTCATAAACTAAAAAACGCTAATTTTTGTGGTGGTGTGGTGTTTATAATTTTTAACTTTATATAGTGGCAGTTTATATTGATGTCTAGCACTGGGGCATTATGCCTCAGTTATATGGCATGATGTCCCACCCAGTCACATTATCCTGACACCAGGCCTATGAGTCATAACAGTAACCTCTTAATGCTGAGCGTCAAGCGAGGCAGCTGTTAACACCATTTGTGTAAGTCTTTTGATATGAGTCGACCGGGGATCGAACCCACGACCTCCCGCATCAGTGGCAGACGCTCTAACCACTTGGCCACCGGAGCGATTGCTAATTTTTGTAATACGTTCATGACACTCATTTTGTAATATCTCTTAAGTACTATGCTAATTTTGTTTTTAATATCAAAACAGTAAATATTTAATAGCGTCATAACACCCAACGACAATTCTTAAATTTTCTCAAAAAACACCAAATACTAATACTTTAATAACATCATAACACCAAACGCGAATTCTGTAACATTCTCATCAACGGCAGTTCTATAATACTCTAATACATTCCACATACTACCTATATATACCTTGATAACACCAAACGGGAATTCCTGAATACTGTCATATATACCGAATAGTAATTCTTCACGAGTGTGCCATAATATAGATCATACATCTTCACAAAATTACGCAAAAAGATTAGAGAAACACGATCCATTGCATTTTATAGTACTATCAAGCAACTAATTAAGTTTATTCGTTCCTTAAGTGCAATTAAACATTAGTACATTTTTTCTTTCGTATGGAAATGTCATTAACCTACAAAACTGTTATAAGAAAGTTTCTTATAACTATTTCGGACTGACGAGCGTTCAGCTAAATTTGATATAGTTTACGTTTGTTTCAATTTTAGAAGGTAAAATAATTGTATTAAAGAACGATGTAAATGATAATTTGCTAAATTATTTTTTGCATACATGACAAAGTGCACAGTTAATTTTATATTTTGTTTTTCTTGATCCAGACCCTAGCGGTATAACATAAGCAAAGCAGAAATCACTTTCGTTACTTATTCGGCAGCTAAATATGCATCAGAACGATGAACTATTTATACATAATATGATCTATCAAGCACGTTTTAAATTTCTTGCTCCTTACAAAAGTTTATTTCCTTCTTAGAGATCAAAACGGGATAAGATAAGATACTGACAGATGATACTAAATTTATTAATTTTATTGAAACCGGTTATATCTTTAACATTCCCAAATCATGAACCCAGGCGCTCCTTTTCGAGTGACACAATTAAAATACGTCTTGCATTAGTTTATGTTCATCCGTATCTCTGACGGTGCAAGAAATGGCCAAAGTAGCCGAAACCTTATATGACTTTTAAAACAATGTATCTGGTAATGAAAACATTGGATGTTTATGGTAGTTGCAATGTAAAGCATTTAACGGCCGATAGTTTAACAATCCACACAAGCAATCGAGATTAAAATTACTCCTGGGAAATTATAATTTATTTGGAGGTTGAAACAGTGACAACGGAGACTCATTTTATGCAGGTACACAAGTTATCATGTAAATGGTGTAATTAATGATTTGTAACTTGTTACGTATCGACTCGTATAAAGTAACATAAAAGAAAGAATGAAGACACCAAGCTTTGTAAATTACGGTTTACAGAAATGATCCAAATTTTTTGTTCAAAATAGAAAGATTAGTCCTGTAAAAAGTTCTAAACACAGTCTGAAGTTCAATTCCAGTCCAATACGGCGGATGACCACGCCAGACGAAGGGTAACCAAAGCATCCAGAATTTACACAATAAAGCATAGTTATTGTTGTTCCGTTCCAATTTAGAATATTTTCGGGAAATGTCTTTGTCTAAATCAGTAATGTTGTTCTGCAGGAAACAATTATTCAGAAAAAATGAAGTAAAATTAGCTCCTTTAACAAGACATATGTTGTTCTACGTAGACATATGAACAGACAACTACTAGCACAAAATACCTTTATTAATGTAATAAAAGTGGTATAACTCTATGATGTTACAATAAGCTAACTTTACAACTCTACTACTGTATATACCTCTCGACTACGACTGTCTGTCTGTGACTCTGAATGTCTTACAAATTACCTCTATATATAAACGAAGCTAATACGTTGTTTGAATTACATGCGCACGAGCAAGCATGCAATTTCGTAATACTTCTGGACATTAGGAAAGCCTGACCAAGTATCAGCCAATCGTTTTTATATCTAGTCGTAAATATTTACTTGTAGGGAATTTTTTATCATACACATCACGTGCTCACATGAGTCACATTTACGACTCAAGTAAAGAATATGTTTTTCACCATCATATTAGACTGATATTAATATAATCATATTAATGCTTATATTTAATGAAATAAAATGATTCATACAAAAATTCACTCCTTAACATAGACTTTTACTACAGGGTCGTAACAAACTGAACAAAGAAAAGTAATTGATTATAATATTTGCCAGTAGATAATGGGTGTACACAAAAGTGAAACCAGAGCAAGATCACAAAACGGAAACTTCCATTGTGCTTTAAAGCACATTTTGCTTTTATGAATTAGTTGACAAATACGTTAAAACTCTCACTGCAATAATGTAAGTGTTCAAGGAATTTAAGATATTGGAGTGCGGATCACATAGTTAAATTGGCAAAACTGCTCGAAGCAAAAAACATTATCTCACATGTACATAACAATTAGTGCATTATTTATTACTGTGTTTCCTAAGTAATGGTATTATGTTGTGTGTTTCCAATATATATATATATATATATATATATATATATATATATATATATATATATATATATATATATATATATATATATATATATATATATATATATAAATGATCATATCATATGGGAAAGAAAATGTTTAATTCGTACTGAAATTCAAACCCAAGTCCTCGGGTATACAACGTGGGTATAATTATATAGAATTATAAGTATACACCAGACAGAACGTGATTTGCTATCACTGGATTTTATAGATGAATGTTTTATAATAATCGGCAGAATTATTATTTAATACAAACTTTTAATTCGTACTCTACGGAGTTTCGAAACAAGGTCCACGGCCGCGAGTAAACGGCACCCATCGACTTGCCTGGAGCAACAGCCTATATTCACCTAGAAATGAATCGGTGTATGTCTGTCTGATATATATATATATATATATATATATATATATATATATATATATATATATATATATATATATATATATATATATATATATATATATATATATATATATATATATATATGCTTGCATGCATGCTTGCATGCGTGCGTGCGTGCGTGCGTGCGTGCGTACGTGCGTGTGTGTGTGTTTGTGTGTGAAAAGTACAATATTTATATCACATATAACTATATACTTCCGGTGTATACCAACATAGGTCAAAGCAGGATAAATATTACAGTTCCAGCTATTTCTTTTCGTCCCAATCGAAGATAAATCGTTCCTCCTTTTAAAACTTTTAAAATGTCTTTAATAAATAAATGTACAACACGTGCGTTCATACAGAAACCCACAGACAAATTACTTTATACTCCACGAGGTTTGAAAAATTTCTTCAGATTGGACGGATCTTTTATGTAACTACTATAGCTGTGATTTGATTAGGACTGTATTATATACGTTTTCTTATCTTTGAAGTTTCAGCTCGTCGTAAGGGCACACGTTTACCTTTCAGTAAACACACACAAGATCAGTTCCGTTTTGTAAAATTTCACTTTGGCTCAGTAGCATAGGGAGGGTATTTTTCGTACAGGGACAAAATATAAACTTTGCACCTCTTTCGACTGCATCGGAGTTAACAAATAGTTGTATTTTCCTCATTTTTGCGCCCACGACACATGGCGCCCGGGACTAACTCTCCCTCCCCCGCCTGGTCCATAAATAACATTTCATTATATTGTCTTTTGTTTTAAGATTGATTAGCAGTTTAAGAGCTCGTGTAACAAAGTCAAGGTGTTTGCATTTTCACTGTAATCAAGGATACATTGCTAGAACACATTTGCTGCAATATCAGTAATTATTTTGCAAAGTACAAATGAATTAATACAAACATGCATATCTCACTAAGGATATATATCTTACATGAAGTATTGTTAATAGGCTACACTCTACATACATACTACTTGATGTGTTTTATCACATCAAAAGGTAGCACTAGCTTTGATAAGAGCTTCAGTGAAAATCCTTATTTCCTCGTCTTCCAAGTTTTGTAAGACATTATGACCACGGACATAATAATTGCTCATTTGTCTGCTCGTAAGAATATGCACGAGTTCCCCAATACATACATGAAGACACTGTCTCCTTTTCGTCTCAAGCCAATCGTTATCGTCTGGTCTTTGGTCGCATTGATGGAGCATAAAAGTGCGCAGGTGGAAGGAGGAGAGATTCGGCATCATTGCTCCATTGTTATACTTACAGTCTTCCAGAATACCTTTCAGGATCTTCAGAATATGTTTTCGGCAAGTTCGCATTGAGCCACTACTGTCGGCGCTCAACCATAACATTTTCTCCGTCCTAGAAAATGATAGTCTCCACAGTAACATCCCTTGGTGTAACGTCTTGGCTATATACAAGGGAAAACAAATGTTTTCAGTGAAATCATTAACTTCGAGAACTAGGTAACTTTTTTGTGGCCAAGATGTTACATTTGATTCTGGATTTCGATAGCATTGTTCGCTAAACTATCACAATAATTTTAAAAGACGAAAGGCTTGATTCATAACCTTATCATTAATGTCCTTAACAATCATCTTAAACATTCCGAAATAGACAACTCACATTGTGTGGTAACTTTGAATGCATAAAGTTAATAATTGGAAAGATTTATGTATTTAAAAGTTCTAATAATAAGTGTAACCAAAAATATGTAAACATGAGAGAGAGAGAGAGAGAGAGAGAGAGAGAGAGAGAGAGAGAGAGAGAGAGAGAGAGAGAGAGAGAGAGAGAATACGTTGCTTAGAGTAATACTAAGAATTTCTACACTTGAAATTATTTTCAACTCTGCTTTGACAGCTCCGTTGGCCAAAAATGATTAGTGTCCGCCTCATGCGGGAGGTACCGGGTTCGAACCCCAGTTGCGTCATACCAAACAATTAGGAAAATGAAACTTTAACATCGGTAGTAAATATCGGGCGACATCGTCATCGGCGTCATTACCATCAACAACAAAGAGCAGAAACAAAATACTGAGAGATTGAGAAGGGATATTAGGCTCCACTAATCTTACCATTTGGATTCTCTCTCGCCACAGCGAAATA